AAGGAACAACCTTGAATTATAGTTTGGGTTTTCTTTTATACAATACTTTATTTTTCTTATAGTGCTTTTTTATTCTAGCATGATGCCAGCAATAGCAAAATACATGCTGCAATAGATGGCTGTCCAGGTAAGTGATGAAGTGGTAAAACAAGAGTTCCTAATGTCTCAGACAACTGCCCTTCCAAGGGGTGGCCTGGCTTTAAGGTGCTGAAGGACAATCAATGTGGGGGCAATTAGTCCTAGCCTTCATCAGTGAGTGGGTTAAGCGTAGTCCAACAAAACTATCTGGACTTTTCAAGACTTTCTCTAGACAGCCCCGAAAGACCAGGCAGGGAAAGCATTTATGCTTATGTTTGGAGAAGCGACCGGAGGAGTCGCCAAGCCCTGGCTGCTGCCCAGGCACACCACACATCTGCACATGTACAGCCCCACGTGGGCACTCCACCACACAGGGGACCCCACCACGCATCTTCACGTGCAGAACCTGAATTTTGTGAAGTTATCCTTGCCCTGCCTTGTGACACAAAAAGAACTGGGCAATTTCGAGGGCAAGGATGCGTGTCAGTGGTTTTGGGAAAAGGAAGTGGATAACAGAGGTGCAAATGTGGAGATTGCTCTGAGCAGAGAAGCTTTCAGAAAATTGAGTGAGGCAATATGGACCTCCTCTGGTGACAGTGGTGTGCACACACATTTCCCCCAAAAACACAGCCTTGCGATAAAGAATACTCCAAATTTGCACCACCAGTTGCTCCCTCCTGTAAGAGAAGCTCAAATAGCCATGTTATCCACTCCACTAAGCTCCACAGAAACACTCAGGTGACTAATGCTCTTCTGCAAATGATCCTGTTAAACAGATTCACAATTTAAGTTCAGCTATGTTTTTAAGTATGGCACAGTCTCTTAGTCCTGCTCTCTCTTGCTCATGCAGCTGCCAACTATGTGATGGCAATGTTCAGTGGAAAACATGCTTTTCTTCTGAATAATGGCAGGTATCTTACCCTTGAAAAATGCAATCCTAGAGTTTAGTTTTGCTTCAAGCATGCCAGCTCTCAGGAAGAGGGTCTGGGGAACAAATCCTGAACTTTGTTGTGAGAAAGGCAGGTCACTTTCGCTGAGAACTGTTTGGAGCCTAGGGAAAGTGAGTGTGAAGCAGCATACAAAGAAAAGGGAAGATAATTCAAAATAATGGAGCATTCAAAAAACCTTTATTTGGCTAACACTGGCAGTAAATATCTCATTTGAAATACTGCAAGGAAATCCAGCTTGCCTGCATGGGAGAGCTATGTCAGACTGGGATGCTAAACACAGTAATTAACAGTGAGATTTTAGCTTTGACAATGCAAAGCATAGCACAGCACAAGGAACTTTCTAATATTTTGCATTTATCTATAAGAACAAGGGTAGAGTTCAAAATAATGCAGGGGCTTGGGTGAAAGTTAATCATTCAACAGTAGCTCCTAGCAAGGATCCCCTGAATCACTTCTGGAATGGTGTTAGACTCTTTGTGGGCATTCAGGTCTACATAAGTAGATCATGTTTTGCAAAATTGGTGCCTGATATGCCAGCTAAAACAATCCAGCCTTATTGCTTATGCAAAGAGCGGGCTGAAGTAGATACAATGGAAGTACAAGGGAGGGGATACATGACTTGCCTGATCATTCAACCGTGAGGGTGTGCTGAAAGATTTCTTTCTGAGCCTCCTCCGGCACAGCCCCACACAGAAAGCTCCTGCCTGGGCCCACAGAAGTCTGATTACTGTGCACACCGTGCACTAGCTCAGCAGTTAAGTCATTCAGTAGTCTGATTAAAATAACATCTTCTAATTCCCTTTTTGTTGTAATTTACAGTCTCTCTCCTTTGGCTGAACCTGCCAGCCATCCTGGAGGTGAACAAAGAGAATGTGCTAAAGTTGCCAATTCTGGGGCCTGGTGTGAGAGAAAGCTTTTGTTTCCAGAGGTTGTATTTACTCTGGAGACAGTTAATCAAAGCTCCACAGAGCATTGTAATTCTTCTGTTCCTTTGGTATGGGTATGAACTCTCGGTGTCTGATCCCTGCGACTGTCTTTCAAATCCCCTCAGTAAGCTCACTCCAATGTAACTTACACTAGGGCTGGTTAAGAAAGAGCCAAGCTTTTTCAAAATGGCTTTAGATAATGAAATTACATCACTTGTGTTGTTGTATTTCCTATTAGCACCATGGACACCAGCTAACACAGCTGAAATGAGTATCAGGTATACTTCAGCAGGAGAACATTTAACACTCACAGCCCAAAAGGGGACCTTGGATGGAGGCAGCTCCATTGAGGAAGTGAACATTTGGGACTATATGGGAAATGCATAAAATGACAGATGTAAAGCTGAAGGACAATCCATGCAGAGACATACAAAACACACAGGTGTTAAGTGTCTCACATCTTCTTAATTTGTTATTAATATTCCTCTAATATTCCACACTGCCTTTGACCATAAAACCTGAGTACACAGAATCAATGTGTGATAAGTAATTTGTCTTTCAGTTAAAAATCACACAGAAAACTCTTTCTAAAGTCCTCTGGTGACGGTCTTGCACACTTTTTTCAGGTAAAGCTGAACAAAATAACAACCCCAATTCAGGCTTTTGATTTGATTTAACAGCACTCTATGACTAAAGACTAAGGCAGAGCAAAACTGAACTGGAGCAACTGGTGCTACAGAGAACCTGACAGGTCTCATTTTCTTTGTTATGTCAGCAAGCTTTGTTATAAAGCACAACTTCCTCTTTTCAGCATAGAATTATATAGGGAAGAAGCTTTCTTCATAAAAGAAGTTCTATGCTACTCAACATGCAAATATTATAAGCCTCATTTCAAATACAGATACTTAAATAAACAGATTCATAAAGCCAGCAAAGGTTTTTTAGCATGGACATGGATGCCAGTTAGCCTAGATAAACATTAGCTATGAAGATCACTCACTTATTTTTAAACTGCTATTTATTTTTTAAATGGTTCCATTACACAAATGGAAACAAAGCACGCCAGAAACAGAGTGCTCTGAGACAAGTCCCCTGAGTCCTGCCTGCGTGCATAAATCCAGCCCAGAATATGCCCTATGGGCAGTGAACTCCAAATAATTTCAGCCTATCTCCTTGGAGAGAATGCTGTTGTATCCAGGATCAGTTCTGGGTGGTCTCCAGTTGCATTGGAGAGACTGTTTTAATACAGATAATTTAACATTGTAAAGTATTTTGGACTCTGGGGAACAATGGTAGGGAGAAAGCTGTGGAAACTGTGGTGTTTGACACAGTTCCTTCCCCATCCCTATGAGACAAACCACACCAACACCTGCCTATGTCACCTTCCGTTTGTTTGGACTGAACTTCAGCCAGTTAATTCCAGTATTAGCCAGATGCTGAAGCTTGGAAAGGTGCCTCAACCCACCAAGTTGGGTGGAAAAGGCATTTCCCAGCTCAGAAACCAGCTCCCACCTCTCCTAGAGGGAAAGCATCAGGGTAGTGCAGCCACACTCCATAATCCCCAGGCTGAGGTCTGCTGAGAATTGCCTCATCATATGGTATTTGCTTCTTGACTTTTGAGCAGTGGAAACCATACATACAATATCTTTCCTGCTTTCCCAGTATCACATTTCTATTAAAATCATTGCAACAGATACTACAGAAGCCCATTCTGTGCTCAGAAACAGCAGGAAAGTTGATCTGTGATACAAGTTTTGTGTGAAAATGTAGTCCACCACGCGAATGCAATCAAGTCTCTGAAAGATAGGAGCGGAGAGCAATACAAGCCTAGCCCACAAACCAGAGCATTCAGATGCATTAACAAAAGATTAGGCCCAGTCACATAAAGATACTTGAACACAAAGCCCTTTTGTGGCATCAGAAGATGATTGTTATCTGATAAGTCCAGCTCAATATCACCTGGAGCGCTCTCAATTTGCTTCTGTGCTTCCTCACTTTTGCTTTCTAGCAAGAGATCCACATCAAACCTGAGAAAAGCTGTTTCCAATGAACCACCTAAATTCTTACCCATGCACTTCACACTGTGCCAGCACACATCATGCCAATAAAGTCACAGAAGGAATTCTACAAAATTACGTGAGGGCTCCTTTCTTTTGCAAAGTGGCAGCATTTTGACTCTGTCAGAAGCTAAGATTGTGGCACTTAAAATCTATGGTGAAATCTGTCCCCTACTGAATGGCAAAACTCCCAGCAACTTTAGCAGGGCCAGGAACAGATTTCTTGTCCTGTATCTATAGCAACTCAGAGGCATCAATTGCATTTGTGGGACCTTAAAAGTCAGAAAGCAATGGGTGGTAATCCTAACAAAGTTGTTTTTCCCAGGATTCTTAGAAAACAGAAGACAAATAAATAAAAATTCAGAATATTTTAACATTTCATTTCCCCATTCCCTGTTCATGATCAGCTACAAATCCTTGGACTTTCCCACTGCCAGTGGTCAATGATATCATTCACGGTCATTTTTCTACAACCTTCATTAGCTGGCCTTTCTTAGAGTTGTTAGAGTTTCCTGTGGGCTTTGGTTTGACTTGTGTTATTCTTGGCCATAAGTTGACCAGAAAATAGGAGGCTATTTCAGGCAAAAGTATCAAAAAATAAAGTATGCTTTTTCAAACAAAATGGCCACACCCCTGTGCCTCCTGCCATTCTGTCCAGTTAGTATTTTTAAAGCACGTTATTTATTCATTTATTTATGCATTCAATTGAAATAGCAGGATAACTGAAGGCAACCATAATATAATTAGAGAGGCTGTAATTTGGCAGTATAAATTGTGCTCTTCTTGCTTTACTGAAAGGGTTATCAAGCACTGGAACAGGAAGTGGTGGAATCACTGTCCCTGTAAATATGTAGATGGGACACTGACAGGCATTATCTACTGGTAGATTTGGCAATGATGTGTTACTGGTTAGACTTGATTTTAGAGGTCTTTTCCAACCTAAATGATTCCTCCATTGTAGAAGTTCTCACGAAAGAAAAGGTACTTACAGAAGCTTGGCCATGACCAGCTCTGTCGTTTCTCCCATCATCCCAAACAGGCTCCTCTTGCCACAGGATGCCCCTTCATGCCACAGCCAGGAAAAGCAGCCATGCCCCTGGTGACCACCAGCACGTCTGGGTGTTCTTTGGGATTTTCTTTCCCGTAGCTTTCCTCACAAGCAGGCTCTGGTGAGACAGCAGGATTAGGTGATACCACAACACATACTCAAACCTGCACTTCCCAGCCTCCCCTTCCCTTCTCAGGAACCTGCCAAGCTTGCCATAATACAAATTGACATAGTATTTTAACAGATTGCCTGTATCTATGTGGACAACCAAACATATGATTGGAGGAATATTCTAATATTCAATTAGTCATATTTTTCAGCTGGTATGAGCCTAACACTGTAATCATGACATTACAGGACACTTACATAGTTTGAAGTGGTTGTTTTATAATAATATACAATGCAATGGCATACTTTTGTCCAACTGAAAATCTACATGGTGGCATGGAATCTAAGTTTTTCCAGTTGCCAAAATGAATCTCACTATTCAACAAGAAGAGATGAAAAAGTCCTCAAGTGAGTTGCATTTCTAATTTATTGAAAGCTGCATAGAAAACAACCTCTCACCCAGAAGCCTACAGACTTATCCAGTCTTCCTTGCATGTAAAGGTACAGTCATGAAACAACTGGAAATAATTCAGGATTTCTCCTTTCTGAAGAAATGCACATACTGAAGTACAGACCAGTCTAACTGCTGCAAAACTACTTTCAATTAAATGAAATAAAATGATTGGATAAAATGGGAACCAATTTTACCAGTGGGATGAGGTAAGTGCAGACTGCTATTATACTCTGGATTTTGTCAGGCTTTTGACAGATTTGCAGGAGAAGTCACTTATGCTCTGATACAAGAAAGCAGATGAACATGAAAACAACCCTCTTAAACAACAGAGCACATTTATTTACTCAGGGTAAAGTTGGAAGTCTTAGAGGGTATCTACCACACAGGTGAGTCCTGTAGAATTTTAACTCAACGTAGCTTTGGAAAACATCCAGTTTGTGATTGTAGCAGTGTATCTGAGCTTGTTCTATGATCAGAAAACTTGTGAAAGAGCTATTTGGACAGGGCCAGTGAGACAAAGTTCTCCCCTCAGAGCCAAATAAGCAATTCAAGGGGTACCTGGCAGCCTCTCAGCCCCACAGCCAGGCAGCAGAGATGCACAGCCAAACACACCAGAACTACTCTGCACCTGAGCCTGTAACTTGTATCTTTTCACTGCTCACCTTCCAGAAGGAAGCAATCAGGAGACTGGGGACACATTACTTCCTTCAGACTTTTGTTGCAACACACAATTACTCTCATTTAAAAATTTCCTTCAACTGCTCTAGTGACTCATTATAAAATCAGTGATACTCACCCACATAAATGCAAGCTCACAGGACTTCAGACAAAAATATGCAAAGCTTTTTATCTCTGCTTTTTATCTGCAGCTGACTTCTCTGCAGCCTTACTATGGCTGCTTTGATCTCACACTGGCCAGCTTCCATGCCATCTTTCAATTAATTTGGGAAAGACTGCACTGAGTCATTGTCAGCGTGGTTTTATGCCAAGCTCTTTCTGTTCAGAGATGCAATTCCCAAAGTGGTGCCCAATTCTCCTTTCCTAAATTCTTATTTGAGCACTTTGTTAACAGGTTTGCTATCATCTCTGTGATATGGAATAACACCTTCTCCCATAGGAGCTGGAGTAATATGACTTTATACACTAAAAGTTGTCCTTCAAAGCTGGACATTCTGCTCCTGAGTCTGAAAACAACTGTGGTGTTAAATTGCCAGAGGGACACGTTCTCCAAGCCTTTGGTTCCCTGCAGCCATGTCCTGTGTGAATCTAGGACAAGATCATGTTACTTGAATTACTGGAAAGCTTCATAGAAGTCAGCAAAAGAACTGCCAGTGTTAAGTGAAAACAATCTTGAATCAATGTTGTGCTACAGCACCAAGATGTTCCAGGTGCATTGTAATGACCAAAAGTGCAGCTGTACTGACTGTCAGCTGTACTGGGAGCCTATGAGTCTGATTTATAGATTTTTCTTCTTCACCCCCACCTTATTTTCATCATGTCCTTTTAATCGTGTTCTCAGAGATCTCCATGTGAGTTTGGTTCCTTTGGAACGGAGCCCTGAACATAAAATTATCTAAAGCAATCTTTCTTTTATTCTAATACTGACATTCATAATCCTCTAAGGACTTAGAAGAAATAGAAGGAATAATATCAATTATGGGAAAAAGGCTTTCATAAACTGAAAAGGCGTTTTGATCTATTAAAAAAAAATCAGTCATTTGCATTGCATTTCCCAGGCTAATCCCTGGTATAATTCAAATGAGATGGTTTAGCACACAGAAAATCAGGGAAATCCTTTTTATGGGACAAACCCATAAGGTTTTGTTTATTTAAGATAATTGCAGCTGTGGGATAAAGAACTTTCACTGTACCAAATGATCTTCATTCAGACATTACCAGAAATTGCTTCTCCTCTTCATTCCTTTTATAAGAGAGAGGTGATTACAAAGACAAAGAAGTCCAGCAAATTGTAGTTGTAACCTATTACAGCTCTTTGGAAGACACAGGATCACCTATACTGCCTTCAAGGATACAGGAAGGAACAAAAAGAGATACCATGAACAAGTAAGAGGAGAATATTATACTCCTGCTTCTCCTCAGACAAGTGTATTAATAGCCCTGGGTGAACTGCCTTTTGAGAACAGGCCTTTTATTTTATTTTATTTCCAATTTTTAAAATTAGCTGATAACTAATGCTCCAACTGCATAGCTATTGAGCTATACCATCCAACCCAGGGAGATGCTCTTTGTGTGGTATGGTCCTCCAACATATATAATAAACATAATCCTTGGGTCTAGACTGCCTCTTGAAAACACAAGTATTTTAGGAATAAACCAAAAATCATGGTTCTTCTCCCCACTTCTACCTATGCTTTAACTCTAGCACATACCAACAAAACCCATCATACCTGAAATTTCACTAATGGGTTAATATTTGGGTGGAATTAGCTTAATTCTCCGCATTTTTCCATTTTTACATTCTTCCATGTTCACTGAAAGAATTTGTACAACAAATAATCAGAATATTTAAATCTTTTTACACTTCCCTGAAGAACAAACTAGGAGCAGTCATGAGGTCTGGTAGCCATACTTTTTAAAGCTGGGACAGCTTGAGGAATCATGAGTCTAGATTATACTTTTATACCAAGGTATTCTTACTAAAGTGAAGAGCCTTAATCCATCCTCTGGGCATCTGCAGTTAGAGTCAGGACTGGGACTAGGATTCACATTTCTCTACTCCAGAAAGGGCACTTTCTGCTCCTCTGTATCAGAGCACAGCAGTCTTAGAGTTGTGCATTTGCTCTCAGACCAATTACATTCCCAAAGTTCATGGACCCTGCAAGCCTGTCTCTCTTCCCCTCAAGCCCAACTTGGAAAACTCATGTACAGTTTTATAAATGCTGAAAAGGGGTGGTGAAACCCCAAAAGAGTTGCCCTAAGCTGTTTTTTTCCTTTGACTGCTGGAACCAAACTTGTCCAGCTTTTCTACTCTGTTCTTCCGTAATTTCCAAAAGAACATCCTGTTCTTGTGCCACATCCACTTCCAGTTGAAAGACAGTTTCCAGGGCAAATACAAAATAGAGAAGTGTGGGAGCAAGGATAACAGGAGCTTTCCCAAAGTTCATGCTTAACTATCAACAGAACAAACAGCAGCAGAGGTGAAGGTAAGAGTGATGCATTCAATTTTCATTAATAGAGTTCAAACCTGTTCATATTTTGTGAGGGTTTTATTACAGTAACTCATTAATTACATTGAAATACTGCCTCTAACTTTAGCATACTCCAATAAATTATTATAAAGTGCGTTCCTATATTCAGGTGAACACCAACTGCATAGCTGTTTCTGTGGAATTGTATGGACCCATCTCACAGTATTTGATGTCGATACATTTTATAGCCACTAGGAAGTTTTAGAGAAAAATGTATTGCTAAACCAGATTTCTGCAATTAAAAAAAAAAAAAAAAAGCTTAAAAAGTGCAACCAGTGTTTATGTCCAAGGTTCAACCCAGCCAGTTTCACATTTTGCATTTCATGTTTTTAATCCAATCATCTTATTGTTGTTAGTCCTGAACAGTAAAGATTCCACAAAGGATTCACAAAGCTATTTGACTGTTGAATTTCTTCTCCACCTTTCACCCACTTCATTGCTATGGAGTAACCAGAAAACACACTTTTGTGCTGTCACATATCACACACAACATAGTATGAGCCACAGATACAGTCAGACTTTGCTTTTTTCTTTAACTTTAGCAAATGCAACACACTTGAGAAGCACAGGGCTTTAGAAGCGCACTGCTGTACTATTAGTTTCATCTATGAATACACTGCAGCCAACTAGATTCCAACCACTTACTCCAAAACCAATCAAACCTTTAGATAATTTAAAATGCTGAAGATTTCAGTAAGATTCAGAAGTTCAACAGCATAGGGAACATAAGCAAGAGGAATTGTCTCCATCAAAGGCAAACAGATGTTGCTATAACCTTTTAAAAAAAACCTTGCTCTTGGAAGTGCTATAGTAAATATGTAAATATACTTTGAAATTGAATATCCTTCCTGAAGTGGAAGGCCTGGAGTACAAGGGCTCTTTGAGACCGTGTTTTGGTTTCATGGGGTCATACGTATGCAATGCTGAGCTGTGCCCGGCCAGGCCTGGAGTCATTGCTGCCATATCCTCTGGCAAGAAGCTGGCAGGGAGGAGAGCTGTTCCAGAGAAAGGAACAGGTAGTAAACGTGTGTGCACTCTGATGGCATCCAGATGCCTCTGACCTGGCACCCAAGAATATAAATACCCCCATAATTCTGCCTTGATACGAAACAATCTGAAGCATTTTCTATTTCTCTTCCAATCCCATTCATGTGGAGTCCATGTTCACCTCACACAGCTTTTCACTTGTCTGTTTCCAGCAATAAAAGCCATTAGAGCTGGCTGAAATGGCACTGTCATAAATTATATCTGCACTGTTAGAAATTAGCTGTACTTTCTTTATTTACTCTGAAAGAGAAAGGAAATTTTTATTCTTTTAAAACAGAATCACAGACTGGGTAAGGCTGG